ATGTGCATGTGCTGCAAAATGCCACACTGGACAATCAGCCTCTCCTCATAAAGATTCATTGAATCAATGCATGTCTCTGGGAAAAGTTCAGCATCTCCATGCAGAGCGTGGAGACATTGAACATCAGTGCTCCACAACATCAGTGCTGCACATGGTCGAACAAACTGTAAAAAGTGGCGTTCTTTTGAAAACTTAAAAACTTACTAAAAATTCAAATATGGAAAAAAAAGAATTTAGAGGGGATGCTTGCGATGGTAGTTACACTTGTGCGCAAAAACTTTGAAAATTTTCAGGATATTGGTCATTAATTTGAAAAATTATTTCAAGTAGTTTATCAAGTCCTTTTCAACTCTGAGTTGATGGTACGATTAATAGGTGAAAACCCTTCGTTGGAAGGGTTGTGATTAGAGTTGAGCGGACAACTGGATTTTCGGGTCCGGTGGGTTCAGCCGAACTTCAGAAAAAAGTCTGGGTTCGGGCTCGAACTTGACCCCGAACCCCATTGAAGTCAATGGGGACCCGAAATTTTGGCCACATAAATGCCTCTAAAAAACTCCCGGAGAGGGCTAGAGAGCTGCAAAAGGAAGTAACATGGGGGTCAGAGTAGCACCCTGCACCCTCTTATGCTGTGTTGGTGCCTCTGTGCGACCAGCGCCTCTTCCACCAAACTGCACACGTCACTCGCATGACCATGATTCCATGTGGGGTCTAGGACCACATCATCTTCCACCCACTCCTCAACCCTGCCCTCCTTGCCGGTATGCACACTGAAGAAAGCCACAGCAGTTGGCACCTGTGTTTTGCAAGCACGTAAAGTCTGCAAAGGACATATGGAAATTGTTTTAGAATTGTATCCAGGCAACAGTTTTCCCTATAAACTGACCTCTCAGTTTGACTAGTGAGGGTATTGCCCCAGAATTACAATATTGTTGAAGTACCTCTAAGCAATTGATAACTGGTTTAAATATAGCAGCTTGTTATCTGGTAGTTTCTAGTGTAGAAAATATCAATCTGTTTTCTATCACTTAGATCTGTGTAACAAGTGTTGTATGTGTGAAACAATATTACAAGTGACCGATGTAATAAATTTGAATCAAAGTTATGCTTCGATTTGACTCTCAGATTTGAAGTGCACAGCCAAAATATACTATTTAGCACCAACATTTTTTTTAAAAAATTGACTTTTAAAAACTCCAGTGTAAGCAGCAGATTAGCAGCAAAACAATTAGAATGTTTACCACTGCACTGTAAGTACACTATTAGACGCTTTTATTTGACTCTCAGATATGAAGAGCAGGCCCCATAATTTACTATTTAGCAGATTAGCAGCAAAAAATTAGAATGTTTGCCACTGCGCTGTAAGCACACTATTAGACGCTTCTATTTGACTCTCAGGTATGAAGTGCACCGCAGGCCCCAAATGTACTATTTAGCAGATTAGCAGCAAAACAATTAGAATGTTCACCACTGTGCTGTAAGCACACTATTTGACGCTTTTATTTGACTCTCAGATATGAAGTGCACCCCACTAATGTACTAGTTTGCAGAATTATTTCCTAAGCTGTCCCTCACAGCTGCAGCATCCTCTCCCTACACTAATAAGAGCTTGTGTGTGTGCGGCGCTACGCGACTCCAGCTTATATATAGAGGCTGGGTCACATGCTGCACTGGCCAATCACAGCCATGCCATTAGTAGGCATGCCTGTGATGGCTTCTAAGGGCACACAAGTCAAACGCTTGTTGATTGGCTGCCCTGCAGCCTTTGAAAACGCGCCATTAAATCGCCGAACACCTAACTCCAACCTGAACATACAGTGATATGTCCGTGTTCGGGTCCGGGGTCCAAAATACTTAATGTTCGGTACGAACCTGAACTTTACAGTCTGGGTTCGCTCAACTCTAGTTGTGATTGCTTAATCTTATAGTGTGATTTCCTACTGAACAGGTAATAGGAAAATTGAATTTAAAAAAAGTATTGGAACTGGAAGGTGGTGGTTGATATTACATTGTTAACAGATCATCGGCAGACTAAATAGTTCCAAAAGTCTTAAAACGATAAATTCAAAAGAAGACACATTAGAAGCAGAAAACTAAAATAATTAGGAAAATACAGCAAAAGCACCACGGAGAATCATTTTAAAATGTAAATAATGACATCAAGCTTCTTGCATAATGTGAGTTCCCCTGGCTGTAGCAGTCCTTCTACACACATTGAATAAATCTGTGCATAGTAAGTAATGTGATTGCATAAATAAAAATGGGCTATAGCATTTCAACAAATTCTACAGTGACCCTGTTATGTGCCATTGCATTTGTTAATTTCCTTTGGCAGCATGTGATCCTTCTAAAACCATGTGACAATTTTAAATATGCTGCAAAAGAAGATTTATTATTAATATGAAATACATTTATCTGGCTGACGTTAGATGGAATTCTCAGATGTTTTTTGAATGTTTTCATATCTTCTATAAAATGCACTTGGGAAATCAATGCACCCTATCAATGTATAAAATGACAAGTGCCATAATAGATCAGAATTGTAATGATTGCAAAGTATAAAGCAAATGAAAAACCAATCTACTGAAAAGTTTTTCACAAGGGCAGCCAAAAAATGGGATAAGCGATTGTAATTGCTTTGCCATTTGAATGTAATGCATACCTTTGGACTTTGGGTGGATGGAAATAACATACTGTAGTATAGCATAATTAACAGTTGCATTTTCTATAATCTCCTTGGCACAGAACAATTTAACTGTCTACAAGGTGTCTTTTAAATATCATAATAAGGAAAACTGCTCCTGACGATGGCGTGCCATCACGCTGAAACGTGCGTTGAGCTCTTTTTTTTTTTTTTTTTTTTCACTTCACTTGGTAGCACTTTAATTTAGTATGCACTAGAACTTTTATTTAGTTTTGGGCAGGGAGACTGGTTCAGGTAAGCATTAGTGGTTAGTTCACGGTGCCGAGGTAACACAGGGATAGATTCTTTTCAGTAGCCTTTTTTGGTTTATAGTTATTGAGGCTCAGTTCCTCCATCTTCCTCCCTGTGATTTTTACCTTTAGCTATACCTGCTGCTAGTATACACGCTGGGAGTGTGTGGAGCTAGGGGTTCCAACATTATTTGGATTGTAGACACATTGTGTGTCTTTCTAGTTGGACCTTAGCTTGTTTGTACAAATCTCTTACCAGCTATTTAACTGTAAATCTCCCTGTACACTAATTTTTTTTTCTCCCGCTATTCTTTCAACCTAAGAAGTATTAAAGGTAGAGCATCCCCTCTTTTTCAATGTTACTCTCTCCTTAGGGCCTTCACTGGTCCTCTATTTTAATATTTTTTGCCAATAAGGTATTGTAAGGAAACCAAGTACATTTAAACCTTAATCGGTAGTTTCCTCCCGAACAGCCAGAGCCCAGTGAATATAGCCCTCCATCCGGTAGTTATGGGATTGTCTCTAAAACAAGTTGTTGAGGAGCCAACTCGTAAAGAGGCCATACTAGATTTAGTGTTAACAAATGGAGATTTGGTATCAGATGTTACTGTAGGGGAAAGTTTAGGATCCAGTGATCATCAGTCAGTGTGGTTTAATATAAGAACAGTGACTGAGTCACACCACACAAAAACAAAAGTTTTAGACTTTAAAAAAAACAGACTTTTCTAAAATTAGAATATGTGTAAAGGAGTCATTATCAGACTGGAGCAATTTAAACGGAGTCCAAGAGAAATGGGATTATTTAAAGGTTGCACTGCTGAAGGCAACAGAAAATTGCATTAGGCTTGTCAGTAAAAGTAAAAATTCAAGAAACCACTGTGGTACTCCACAGATGTGGCCAAAATAGTACAAAACAAAAAGTTTGCATTTAGCAATTATAAAAAAAACCCAGAGTGAGGAAGACAGAATGATCTATAAGATTAGGCAGAAAGAGGCTAAGCAAGTTATAAGAGCTTCCAAATCACACACAGAAGAGAAAATAGCACAGTCAGTAAAAAAGGGGACAAAACATTTTTAGATACATAAATGAGAAAAGGAAAGTAAAACAAGGATTAGTTAGATTAAAAACAAAAGAAGGAAGGTATGTAGAAGAGGATAAAGGTCTAGCTGACTGCCTCAATTAATATTTTTGTTCTGTATTTACAGATGAAAATGAAGGAAAGGGACCTCAGTTGAGAAAAAGGATAAATGAGTCATTTATTACACGTGAGTTTACAGAGAAAGAGGTTCTATTTCAACTGTCAAAAGTAAAGACAAATAAGTCAATGGGACCTGATGAAATACACCCAAAGCTATTAAAAGAGCTTAGTGGTGTACTAGCAAAACCATTAACAGATTTATTTAACCAATCATTGTTAACAGGAGTAGTCCCAGAAGATTGGAAGTTAGCGAATGTTGTGCCCATTTACAAGAAAGGTGATAGGGAGGAGTCGGGCAACTATAGGCCAGTAAGCCTTACTTCAGTAGTGGGGAAAGTGATGGAAACCATGTTAAAGGATAGGATTGATGAGCATCTAAAAACACATGGATTTCAAGATCAGAGACAACATGGGTTTACTTCAGGGAGATCATGCCAAACTAATCTTATTGATTTTTTTGATTGGATAACTAAAATTGTAGATCAGGGTGGTGCAGTAGACATTGCTTACCTAGATTTTTAGTAAGGCTTTTGACACTGTTGCACATAGAAGGATTATCAATAAACTGCAATCTTTAAGTTTGGATTCAAATATTGTTGAATGGGTAAGGCAGTGGCTGAGTGACAGGCAACAGAGGGTTGTAGTTAATGGAATATATTCGAAGCTTGGACTTGTCACCAGTGGGGTACCTCAGGGATCTGTACTTGGACCCATTCTCTTTAATATTTTTATTAGTGATTATTGCAGAAGGTCTTGATGGTAAGGTATGTCTTTTTGCTGATGATACTAAGATATGTAACAGGGTTGATGTTCCAGGAGGGATAAGCCAAATGGCAATTGATTTAGTAAAATAGAAAAATGGTCAAAATTGTGGCAACTGACATTTAATGTGGATAAGTGCAAGATAATGAATCTTGGACGTAAAAACCCAAGGGCAGAGTACAGAATATTTGATAGAGTTCTAACCTCAACATATGAGGAAAGGGATTTAGGGGTGTTTATTTCTGATGACTTAAAGGTAGGCAGACAATGTAATAGAGCAGCAGGAAATGCTAGCAGAATGCTTGGTTGTATAGGGAGAGGTATTAGCAGTAGAAAGAGGGAAGTGCTCATGCCATTGTACAGAACACTGGTGAGACCTCACTTGGAGTATTGTACACAGTACTGGAGACCGTATCTTCAGAAGGATATTGATACCTTAGAGAGGGTTCAAAGAAGGGC